TGAATTAAATTAATATAATAATATGCTAAAAGTGTATCATGAACTAGATTATTTATTTTATTGAGGGCATATAACATATTATATTTCTACACCTACAAAGATTACATAACGAACGGTGCATTTGTTGATATCCTATAGTTATCATTGGTGATCTCATTTTTTTAGTGTTTTCAAAAATTTCATAATCTATTAATGGTTTCAGAGAATTTTTCTCACAATAGGTGTGATTCTCAAAATTAACATAAATGTGATTATCAAAACATCAAACAGGCGTGATTATCAAAGTAAATCTTATCATAACTCAAAAGTAAAAACCTATTGCATTAAATGTTACTTTGTAAAACTTGTTTCGGAATAGTCATGCATTTTCGACTTAAAAAATTTATCAACCTACTATATTTGTTTGAAACGATTTATTTGTTCCATATTATATTACATAAAAGAAAAAGTGAGTATATAAGATTTTGTATACCTATCATCTGATACTAATACAATTATTTGATATATATTATTTGAAAGATTATTGATTGTATAAATTAAATAAATTAAATAAATAATGGAAAAAAAAATCACAAAAAACCATATTACACTGTTGATTTTTGAAGGTGTCTTATAGTGTTATTTATTTTAGAATGACTGTCGGTAGGTTGTAATTGTTGTACCAAAACATATCTTGAGTTACAGATCCAATATCTGTAATTGTTGGGTTATTACTAAGTTTGCATTTTTCAAAAAATTTCCTTGCTTGCTTTTTTATAATTTCATATATAAATGGTATATTCAGTCGGTTGTGTAGATAGCGATTGGATACATAATGATGACTGATAGGGTTCCTCTTTATTCCGAGTATCATTCTCAATGCTTTATTTTGTATAATTTGTAATTTATTTATGTTTTGTTTATTGGTCATACACCACGCAGGGGCTCCATAGGTTAAAGTTGATCGTATCATTGCAAGATAAAGCCTTCTCTTAATCTTTAGATCAATATTGCTGCTAAATTTTAGTAGGGGTACAATAAATATAATAATCTATTAGCATGATTAATTTTGCATTTGATATGGTCGTTGAAATTGAGTTTTCTATCCATTACTAAGCCCAAATACTTAACTTTGTCTCTCCATAATATATTATTGCCGTTTATGTGTATGTAGGATTGAGGAACAGGTGATTTTCTTCTTTTAGTGAATAAGATTGCTTCTGATTTGGGAATATTTAGTCGAATTTTCCATCTATTAGCGTAATCCATTATTGCATTCAGGTGTTCTTGTAGTCTGATTATGATAGTTCTGTCGGACTTAGCGGATGTGTATATAACAGTGTCGTCTGCGAATGTTAGTAAATTGGTACTTGGAGCTGTAGGTAAATCTGATATAAAGATAGAAAATAGCACTGGTCCAAGAATACTTCCTTGAATTTCTATTAATTTCAATTAAGTGTAAAATTTCTATTAAGTGTAAAAAAATGTATATGTTATTGAAAATTGGATTGATTATCTTGTATTTTACTTGAATGAAAATTATTACAAATTTACATTGTTATCTTGTTTGTATTCAATAATCATTCCTCATCATGATAGTTTTAGATAAACTCTAGTCACTACAATATACAGATTTGCACAAAATTCTGTAAGCTGATAGCACATAGGGTCGTAAGTTCAAATTCGAGTGCAACATTTATTTAATATATGTGGCAACATTCGAGTGAAAGTTGCTTTTTAGTAGAACCCGGGATCAAAATAAAATTACATCAGTTTTTAAAGAGATAATTAAAAATGCTATAATGGAGTGATTATAAACAAAAAAAATGGACAGAAAAATCGTGCAAGGATTTGCAATAAATTTAAGAAAAATAAATTCAATTATTTCAATTCAACTCAATTCAGATTTTGTCTATGTGATTGTTGCTAATTTATAACAGTAATAACAATCTAGACATGAAGTTTAAACATTGATATCACTACACATGATCTAGCGGTATAATAAATTTAAAATGACTTACGACTGCGTAGTTTTTTATAAAATAATTTCACGATGATTTATTTATTCATAGAAACTATAAAGCAACGGATATAGTTTACAATATCACAATTATTGATCATGCTCATAATTAATTCTTTTCATACCTTGGTTTTATTGCGAAATCAATAGCCATTTAAAATTTACATTGATATTTTTTATTGCCGATATTGTTTTCTAATTGCAAATAATACGTGCCAGAGGATAATAAATATTTATAATTAATGACGAATTAAACCTGAAAATTGTTTACTATTTAGTTGGTGTGATAATTAAACCTATTGTAGCACAAAGAAATTCCAATGAATTTTTTGAGGAATTTATACGAAAGCTTTGTTTTTAAAATATGTTAGCGATATTAGTCATCCAAAATTGGTCATGCAAATTAGTCACTAATCTTAAATTATTAAAATTGAACGTAGAATATATATATATATATATATATATATATATATATATATACAATATGAAGTATTATATGATGCAATAGAAATTTCCTCACGTTAACCTACCATAGTTGAAGTGAATTATTGTAAATATAATATACGATTCTATTATTCCTAACAAAGCATTAGTGATATTTAGATATTATAGATTGATTGAATGATTGTTAAAATTATAGGTACTTAACTCATGAATGCCTGCAGGCATCGAAGGTATAAGTAAAGCAGTCGAAGTAAACCTATATAAGAATTAATGAAAATAATAAGGAAAATAAAATAAATTCTTGAATAGCTGATATCATAATATTAAGCTGCGTATGGTTACCAAATAATTGGAATAGAAATGACCAAAAATGACAATATTGATTTCATTTTAATTCTAAAATTTTAAGTACCTACATGTAAATATACGTTAATAAATAAAAATAAATATACGTTTGTAGTCAAATTTTCATATTACACCCAAATCAGAACAATAAATTTAAAATTAAAAATAATATGCCAATAAAATATTTTTTAAAATACAAATGTTCGAGGTTTAATCTGGGATTAAGATTTGACTATCAATACTATATACCTATGCATTACTAATTTAATTTTTTGGTATATTTCTAAAAAAATTGATCCGGCTTAACCAAAAGTTGCTCATCCCTGAATTAATGGGAAAGTTGTGTTGTTGCAATAAAGTATTACTATTGCTGCGGTGAAAACCGCATTTATATTATGTAACAATAAGAGCTCGTGTTAGAATATGTTGGCAAAAAATGTTTTCTAGCTTTCACAATAGTAAGTTCAGTTTCGAAGTACTTGAAAAAATCATAAGGGATTGCTATATCCAGATAAATACACTCCTCCTTAAAACTCATTAAAGCTAAAAAATGACTGATTCCTTGATTCGATAACTAACGTGAAATAAATTCCTATTATAAATAGTATAATTTTAGTGCAGTTTAATTTTGTATAAAGTTTTTTTTTATTATAGAGTAATATTTACACCTGCCCTGAAATGGACAACAAGTAGAACTGTAGGGAGAAAATAACATAAAAAATATAAAAAAAAGTCTGACCATAATAAGAGATTTCGAAAATTGACATATTTTAATATGTTATGATTTTTTTTATTATTCATAGTATATTTCAACAATTATAAGTACAATCTATCAGCTGAAAGTGAATGTTGAAAAAGAAAGAAAAATAAAAGGATTAAACAAATGAATAAATGATAAACAATAATTGATAATTATAGGTAAATTGTGTGAAACATTTTTCTCTGTATATAACAGAAAAAAAATATGTTGTTGGTTCCGGCAGATCACTTGGCCATTTTCTCTTTAGTCACTTTAATTTTCGGCTGACTGGACTAATTGTATTTCAGGATGAATTTTTAAGTAAAAAATATTAAAAGTAATAAATAAAATTTAGATTGTGCAACAAATTGAGTAAGGGAAATAAACAGTGTGCCAAAAGCTTTGAAAGCATAGAGTTTTGACGAAAACGCTGGTTAAATAGCTTTATATTTAACGAGAGCTTTCTACATTTATGCTTAGATAATTGAAATGATGCACTTTTATATCATTGCATTCAAATTGAATTACCATAAACTTGTAGATAGAGTTCATCGAATATTTCATTAACTGTCATTTTTGAAAATCATAACAGACATTAGGCAATGTAAATTTTATTTAAAAAAAAAAGATAATCACAGAATTAATTCATAATTGATTATACTATTGGCATTAGCACAAATGTATCATCTGCACAAATAATATATATTGCATACTTTAACTTTCCTACAGTAATAAAACGATTTCTATGATCTTCAATCCTAAAAAACTCTTTTTGTATTTTAGTGGGTGTCCTATAATCACGTGAGGTTTTTAGAGGAAAAGGGATTTTTGACAAAAAATCGCGCAATATCACATGGGCGAGGGAGGGCTATAGTAAGATATCACGTGCATTTATTTTTTTCCATTTTTTTTTTATCCTAACATATTCAAAAAAAATACAATTTTTTCTCGTAACATATTTCAATATAAAATACATGTGATGTTTGGTGGGGGAGGGAAGGTAATTTTGAATATCACCATGTATCACCAAGGGGTAGCGAGGGTCCAAAAATCCGTAAAAAGTCGATAACATGATTAATGAACGTCCCCTTATTCTCGATTAAGAAACCTCTTTTACATAAATACAAATTATATGCAAAATCAATCATTTCAATGAACAATTTTTGACTGATACACGCTAATTAATATTTATTAACAATGTTCAATGTTAATTAATATCAACCACCAATGTTTAGTGAAATTATGAAACATAGCATATTAAAATTGCAATACGGACACCCAACATATTGGTTTAAAAGAAAACATTAGTAATTTCAGAAATAAATGCTTGTTGCCTCCATCACATTTCTTTTAGATTTATTCCACTTTTATAAAAGCACCAGCTCTCACTTTAGATTTTGCGTTGATCTAATTAACATATTTTGATAAAATACATCAAGACCAGGTTTATCAACATATATTTATTCTCCACAGGCTTACAAGATGCGTTCCTCAAACTCTGTCCAGATAGCCCGCATCGTGGCCATCACCGTGGTAACTTCCAGTTTTATCCTAGGATGTTTCATCCTGGCCTCGAGCTATCTGACGGCACGCGCTTCCTGCGAGCAACTCCAGCAATTGGATGCTGTTCTCGAAAAGGAATTGATGTTGGAAGCCAGACACTTGCAGCCGGAAGCTTTGATCCAGGTCAGTGGTGTATTAACAATAGATTTTATGCGCCCATTGTCTAATGTAGATTGCAGACAAAAATCCAACACGCTAATAAAGATGATAGATGATGGATTTTAGAACACCATTCATCTTTTTCATGCCATAGAAATTTCATTCAAAACCATTTTGTTTTTATTGTTAAATTTAGAGTTTTTAGATTCCAATTTATTTAAACAAAACAATTTATTGTCAATATATCTATTTTGGCACAAGCCTTACCTGAAATAATAACGTTTCATAAGATAGGACATCACGTATCATTAGTTTCGAAACCCTTTTGTACTTCTTTAAAATAACTTTTATCAGTTTTTATTTTTCTTCCCAATATTCAACTAAGTTGTTTATCAATACCAATTTGTTTACGGAACTGATTTTTGGTCATCTATCAGAGTACAGTATCTAGTATTTTTCTTTTTGGTCAAAATTGCACGCTGTATATTTTTTTTACTATACAATCTTCACAAAACTGTCAGAACGCCCAAGGAAAACATTAGTAATTCATTCTCTAGATAAATAAAAAATCCCACTATATTTGGATAGTGGATAGATAAGTAGATACACTATTTTTAACTTCCTAAAGGAGAAGTTTATGTTTTCATAAAAAAATCCGATTCGCTAATTTTATGTTTTCTCGACGTTTCATGCCATTCTGAATCGAATGAGACCAAATTTGGAAAAAGTATGTGTGTGTTTGTATGTGTATGTAAACAGATTTTTTGCCGTAAATCGACGTTTTCTGAAAAACGGCTGGACCGATTTCAAATAATTAAAAGCCACGATCGGCCGAGACGTTTCTTTGTCATTTAGAAAAAAGTGTTAAACGTTTCGTCCACGTTTAAGCTCATACTACTGAATCGATTTTGAAAAATCGAAAACTGTTCGAAAGATATTAGTTGGGAATGATACTGATTAGTTTTAGGTGAAAATCTACCAAGTCGTTTTTTTGTAATTAACTGTTGAAAGAAAAATTAAGTCGATTTTTGGGAACTTTTTTTGGCGATATACATTATGGTCTTGAAAAAAATTGAAATTAGACGATTTACTGGGTATAACGATAGAGTACTTGGTCTTAATAAACATACTAAAGCATTAAAGTCCAACGGAAACTGGTTCAATTATAAAAATTGTTTATTTTTGAGAATTTGCTCTTACAAAATATTCCGAGTTAACGTGTTCGTTCGTTTTCATACTTTAATCACTCATAAATTAATTTATGTTTTATTGATTAAGTCGATTTTTTACACATATCGGGAAGTTCATGTAACTCGCCTCAAGGCAAAATACCAATACCAACTAGTTATACTACAAATTTTATAAGTAAATTTTTTATTGTTTAAACGTATTTACTTTTAGATAATTAAGTTTTTCATATATTTCTCGAACAGATTTCATTTTCTGTCATCTATCAGAGTACAGTATTTTGTATTTTGGCTTTTTTGTAAAAATTGAGCCCAATACATGTTTTTCTGCATAAAATTTCCAAAAAACAACCAATATAGCCAATGAAGAATTTGATATTTTATTCTAGATTATGGATTAATAAAAAATACCATTGTCTTGGTATGGATTTTTATACTAGAGATTTATCAGGTAAACGTTTTCATTTTTTTGGTTATCGTTACATTTGATTTGAGTTAATGAATTTAAATTTATTTGAAAAAAAATCTAATTTAACAATTTTAAGTTAAGATATCAGCATTGAAATCTTTTTGAACTTTTTATCTTTTACTTTACTTGGCAATTATATGATATACCAATTAATTTTCTTGCACATTAGACTTTTTTCTTTCATTAATTCATATAATTATTTAATTTCTTTGTATTAAAATTGCACCCAAAACATTCTTTTCTCTACTAAATCTTCCGAACAAAATGCGTTTGCCAATGCATAATTTGGTCATTTATTTTTCTGTATGCAGTATCTTACGACTTTATATTTAATTATTTTTTTCCTCAATGACTACTCCAATAAATTTACCGTTTTCGTGCTTTGTTCTTCATTTAAAATATAAATCAATCACAAAATAGTTTCACAGTTGCTCTCGGCAATGTTCTCATTCTCAGGCCATTTCAAGTTTCTATTTATAGATAAATTTGATTTAGGATGGTTTAAAATATCATCCTAATGCAACTATAAAATCAATTTAATATAACACTGACAATGATATATATATATATATATATATATATATATTTCAATTGTAATAATAAAATATAAATTATTATATTACATGTAATTATAAAAGTTTATGATTATCTGCAAGATCCAACACTATTATGGCCATTTACGATTAGAAAGTAATTTAAGAAATGATGCCTGACTGTGAGTTAAAACTTATACAAATATATTTTTAATATAAATTAAAGAATATAAAGATTTAACCGTAAATTAATTGATTATATAAAACAGGCAATGATGCTTTATTCTGGATACAAATTCGCTTCTATAAGAAAATAATTAGTTTAAAGTGATTTTGAATTTAGCAAGGCTTTAGAAGGGCCAATTTTTATAATTATTCTAATTTATAGGGTTCATTACCTATCATGTTATAGACTAATAAATATAATTTTTTACTCGATAATATCGACCATATACGATAGTACTTTTCAATTTTCATTGTTTCCAAACAAGAAAAGTGCATTGCACTCGTCGAGGCTTACAGCTGATATTTGGTTTCACCAACGCAAAATCATTGGAGCGAATAAAGCCAGCTTTCGTTCCGCCATAGTAGCTAAATATTTGTGAATAAAATAATAGTACAATGTTTGTATTGCTAAATATGTGCGAAAAATATCCGGCAATGACGTCGATTCTAAATCAGCTTTCTTTTGCATAACAAAAGTCAATAAATAAATGGATTTGCCTAACTTTTTAATAAACAAACAAATGGACGAGTGGTATGTTTAATGATGACTAATATGAATTATATTTACAAAGAAATTTTTAATATTAATATTAGAAATTAGAACGCATTAATTATACAGGTCCACAAATTAAAAAAGTTGTCTCTATTAAAAGTTGGCTAATATTCACCAAGGTACTTTTTACCGCAAAACACAGAAAAGTGATGCCACCACTGGGTAAACTCCATTCAAATATATACAAATAATAAACATATTATTATTCATAAATAATAAATATGTTTGTATTTTGAAAACAGATTGGGTAATAAAAATAAATTACCGCTGAACACGAATCTAAAGTCAAAATTGGGGGTCAAATCGCAAAAAATTAGAAGATTAAAACAAAAAACTACAAAATTTCAAATTTAGTACTTCTTTTGCTTAATAATTAAAATCTTATAATTTCTCTCGTTTCTTTGCCCTTTTTTATCTATTGAGTTTCAATTAAATAATCTTTTGAGTTTTTTATGTAATTCAGAGGTAGCAAAAAAGACAACTTTTTTTGTGTATCTCTGTTACAAATCAATTTTTTCAATTTTTATATGAAAATGAAATATCTCTTATTCCCATTCTTCGAAAAACAAAACAGTTTCTACGTAATAATTAATTGCAACGTTTACGGTAGATATTTCTTATTACTCAGAGTTCTCAGTAAAAATTTAAAATTATTGTAAAAAATATGACCTCAACACTGAATAAGAAATGAGAGCACATATTAGGAACATTTTTGAGATTTGTTGTTAAACAATACTTTTTTCAGTTTGCATACAGAGTAATAGATTTTCTATACAAAACTGTAATTACAATTTTGTCCACACCAGCACATGCACAACATTTATTTTTGTCATTGCCCCAAAGAAGTTTTGTCATCTCTTAATCTGATAAATAATCAAAAACAACAATCTTTATTATTACGATATAACAAATTTATATTCATATTATTACAATCTATTACCATAATTTCTTCGAGCAAAATGACTATGAAAATTTGCTCCAAGTTCACTCGACAAAAGAAATTGGCCAATAGTGTGTGAAGCGGAAGAACCTAATATAATTGTTTTCGGGAATGATTTTATCGTTCCGTTAACTAGAAAAAAAACTAAATTGTGCTCTAGAAAGCGAGGCACTTGAGCTTTTTGATAAAAAGATTTGTTATTCAGCAAACAGGGCACAATCTGGAGCCAAATTATAAAACAATTGTTGATACAATTGATGATCGCATGTGTATTGAATACAAACTTATGAAAGTTTTTAATATTCCATGACATAACTCTCATATACTTTTGATTTGAAGAATGAAGCTGATCCGTTTTTTACTTATTTTGCTAAATTAAGTGCATTTTTCCCTTAACCACGCCTCCAAGTTTTGTAATTCAAGCTCATACAAAAACTATAATTGAACAAATTTACTTTCATATATAAAATATAATTATAGTCAGTTTATTTTCAAACTTTGATCTGTAGCACATTTTATATTTTTTTGCATTCGCATATTTTGTTGTTCACACAGATAATTTCTTTCTCTTCATTCTTTGATATTATTTAATAAAAAATCTTTAGAGTTATGATTATGTTTATTACTATATCTTACTTAAGTCATAGCATCTATATTAATTTAACAAGGAAATGAAAATTCAAATTACGTAGAATATAATTATTTATTTAATGGGATAAAAACATGAAAGTAAAGTATCATATTTGCAAATAATTATAATTAGAAACTACTCAACGATAAAGTTGGTCGAAAAACTTTACTCTCAAATTAACCATTGCAATCAACAATAAAGTTATAGGGTAATAATAATTGTGGAAAATAAATAATGATTGAGTGAGAATAAAGAAATTGATTTGATTATAAACAAAAATAATTGCATATACAAGAATATGTTCAACATTATAATATTATTATCACACAATAGTGAACAAAATGGATCAAATCTAACTGGATCAGTATAAGGAAAGTAAATGTGAATATTATATTGCTGATTTTTTGTTTATTCGTAAAGAGAATAAAATCCTGCCCATCATAAAAAATTTAATATTATTTTAAAATAGAGATTTTACTTCAATGC